ATCATAAAGTGTCAGCAGAAAAGAGATTTGAATAGATTCAAATAAGAATCATCAAAGCTATTACGTATAGAATATTCTTATATAAGCAAACATTTGAATCGAATAAACCCTGAACAACACATAAAGATTTAATTATCAATTATATTCATCAATTTAATTTTAATGGTATGGTAGGTGTTAAATTTGGATTCATCTTTCAAACCTTATAAAGTCATGTTCCGCATTACCCTTGGCAAACTTGATGACATTACAGAAAATTGATACTACAGAACATTATAACCAATGTAATATCCTTCTTACAACAAATCCACAAGACTTCTGTTTTGATAACACCATTAAAACTTTGTCCAAAGTCTTTAGAGAACAGTTATCCTTATTCATTATTAGTTATTGGTGCTCTCAAATAATTAATAAACAACAAAGGGAAAACTGAGTGAAATATGTAAGATTAATAAACTAAGAACATGAACAATTCAAATTATCACCTATGACCAAAGGCTAGTTTTCTGACTTTATAACCGGGTTAAAACAATATTACGTAAGAATACGTTTAAGTCATAAGATTAATATAACCAGTATAGTATTCTTGTTATTAGTTGAATATGAATCTCCTCCAGCATACATTTCTACATTAATTTTGTACACAATCAATATCCCTATTCTGCCTAGTTCAGTTATGTTAGAAATCTTTTAACTATTTGTAAAATATCATTCAAATCAATACGTAGATAAGTGTACTTTGACTAAAGTTATCATATTTCTGAAGAATGAATGAAATCTCCTTTATCATCAGTTTTATATTCTTTTCATTGTGGGAATTATAGTTTTTTTTCCAGCAAGTAACAAATTTCCAAATATTACCAGTAATTTTTCTCAAAGAACAAAACAATAAATGACTATTCTTAATGGTTTATAATATCCCAATTGCTGAAAATGAATTTTGATCAATATTTGTTGGATATTGGTTTGCTGGGGTTCTTGGTCCCTTGTATAGTTACATAGCATGATTGAGTTGTTCTGTTCTGATCGTAGTGTAAAAAGCCTAGTGAGTGTTTGGTTCTCTCAAAAATCGATATAAAATTGCCTTCTTCCACAAGGGCATATTTATATACTTGTGAATAATTGAATTGTAATTTGTTGGTTATGTGTATCTTGAGCTAATTACTTCATTCTACACCTGAACATCAACAATGAGATAACAGAAATACCTACGAATAAATACTGTACTGGTTGGCAATATGTGGGTCATTATCTGAAGTCGTTAGCCTTATAGAGAACTTACTGGTGTTTGGAGCTTCTGGTACTGGGTTCGAGTACTGGTATAAAAATTACTGGGATGTAAATGAATCTACTAGAAAAATCTTAAGTGGGAGGCGATGCAAACTCTATATTCCACTGGTAGTCACAGTTCAATCATGCTCAACAAAATGAACGCATTTTAAGAAAACCATTAAGCTGGTGTCAAATTTGAATGACTAAATTTGATGATTATTTTAATTTAGTAGTTGAATTCATGAGTTAATTGAAGCTAAACCATCAAATACAGAACTGAGGAGACATAATTTATAAGAAGCTATGTTTGATGCAGTTCAAACTTGTTGAGAGTAAAGGCAGATATCATTAATGTCATCGAATGATTACCGTTAGATAACATGAATTTAATAAAGTCGGTAGTATGAAGCCTTGGATTTATATTCAGTTATCTAAGTGTTTTTAAGTCTGCTGAAAAATTTCAAGACTCTGTGCTCATATTTACACATTTATGAATTCATTCCAAACAAGATATCCAGTATTTCCTTGTTTTCCACATCATTCTCCAGATAATTTCAATTAATGGTGTAAAACTGAGTTCAAATTGTCTTAAGATAACAAAATCCTTATTCCATGAAATCATATTTTTCAGTTCTTTCCGCTCTCCCCATTGGATTACTTTGTTATATCACTACTTTTCACTCTGTTCTACTTCTTTTACGTTTTCAACATAGCTGATGGTTAGTTCGAATTCTAAACAATCAGGAGATTCTTTTTTTTTAAAAAAAGGATCTGCGCAAGCTAGACAAACCAGACGACTAATACACTACAATTTTTTAATGTTATTAATTTACACGTGTATGAGAGAGAGAAGATGGGACATTCAGGAGAGTCATGATATTCCCAAAATAAGTCCAAATTATAACGTAAAAACTCCATAGACAAATATTGACTCTGAACAACACAACAAAGATAACAAACTAAAAGGTCAGAAGGGAAATATGAATTGAGAAAACAAGCTATTGTGGCATTTTTTTGGATGTCATAACTTACAATTTTATTTTAATTAATCAAACTTTAAATCTTTTATTCTTAATGATAATTAGATTTTATATAATCTGTGTTGTAATTCATTTTATTGATGGCCCTATTGTCTTTCGTTACGGTTGGTATTGTAGAATATTCTTTGGTGTACAATATCCATTTTATAGTAATGATAAATATATTTTTTATTATATCCCAATGGGTAGAAAAAATTGTATTTCTGATGTTTCGTGACTTGATGGAAGCCACTTCTTCAGAGTAAACAAAACTTCATAAATACAATTTTTTCTACTCAATGAGACGTAACAAAAAAACATATTTATTATTAACTTTCTACCTAATGCTCAATTTATTTGAAATTATCAAATCAATTTTATAGGTTATATTCATTCTTTAAAGCTTACTTAAAACATTAACTTCAACATGTAAGGATAAACTGGATCGCAAGAAATACCATCACAAAGAATGGATCTCAGTCGATACCCTAGACAGGATTCAAGAAAGGAAATCAAGAAGACAGTGATTAACAACAGCCGAACAAGAACAGAGAAAGTCAAACACAGGCCTAATACACAGAAGCAAACAAGCAAGTGGAAATCATCACTAAAGCTAGTAAGCGGAAATACAAGAGAGATCTAGGAATGATATCAGAAAAATCTGCAAGAGAAGGAAATACCAAACAACTATATGACACAACGAAGAAATTGATAGGGAAATATAGTAAACCAGAGAGACTGGTCAAGGGTAAAGAGGACAAGTCAATCACTGAGATCCAAAGACAGAGGAAAAGATAGGTAGGACACTTTGAGGAACTCTTCAATAGGCCAGCTCCACTGAATTCACCGGATATCGAAGGAACACACACAGACCTTCCCATAGATGTCACTCCACCACCGACGAAAGAAATCAGGATGGCCATCAGACAAATCAAGAGTGGGAAAGCAGCAGGACCTGACAATATACCAGCCGAAGCATTGAAGTCACTCATAGAAGTAACTGCAAACATGCTCTATGATCTATTCAGGAAGGTTTGGGAGGAAGAATAAGTGCCGACAAACTGGAAAGAAGGACACTTCATCAAGATACCAAACAAAAGAGATCTGAGTAAATGTGAGAACTACAGAAGCATCACACTATTATCGGTACTATGAAAGGTAGGCCTCAATATATACAAAGGAAAGACCAAAATCCTCAAATACAACACGAAGAACACCAACCCAATCGCACTTGGTGGAGAAGCTCTGGAAGTAGTGGAATGTTTCACATATGTGATCAGTATTATCGATGAACGAGGAGGATCCAACGCAGATGTAAAGGCAAGGATTGGCAAAGTAAGGACAGTTTTCCTATAGTTGAAGAACATATGGGACTCAAAACAACTGTCAATCAATGTCAGTCACAATGTTCAATACGTATGACAAGACATTTCTACTGTATGGGGCTGAAACTTGAAGAACTACTACAACCATCATCAAGAAGGTACAAGTATTTATAAATAATTGTCTACGTAAGATACTGAATGTTCGTTGATCGGATACCTTAGGCATCAACCTACTATAGCAGAGAACAAATGATTTTTCATCTGAAGAGAAAGTTAAAAAATGTTTGGTAGAACACACATTTCGGAAATCATCAGACTACATCGCGATACTCACTCTAACTTGTAATCATGAAGGGGAAAGAAAAAGAGGAAGGTCAAGGAACACATTGAGCCGGAAATCAGAAGCAGATATTAAAAGGATGGATAACAACTGGAAAGGATTGCCCAAGACAGGGTTCAATGAAGAAACCTGGTGGGCAACCTATGATCCTCCATGATAGGTAACAGACGTAAGTACATCTTTACTACCATACGGACACGTGTGTTTTTCACTCCAACTTTTGGCAAACTCATTCCTCTTAGTACTTTCAATTGTATTCGATTTGGAAAAATTACCAAATAAAATAAGAACTAGTTTATGTTATATTGTTCAAATTTATCTCATTCGAAATCGCTTAGATGTTGTCGTTGTTAATATGTTGACTGAAATTCGATCAGCTTTGATTGGTTGTATTATTCAAATTGTGTCATTCTCTTATTAAGATTTTTAATCAACCTAGGATATGAAATATCAAATGGTATGACCTTTAAAGTTCATTCTTCAAGATTTTGATTAGAATCTCACAAGGTTTTTTTGTTGATTTCATTTCATCGCTGTGTTTCATTCTATCATTCACTTCCCAGTTTATCTTATCTTTATTGTTGTGATTTATAATTAGTAGATTTAACTCTATATTCTCCAGGATAGCTTGATCAGCTATTTGAATTTTTATTTAAAATAAATAGTAATGATAATAATTGTTATCTGAGACAAACTTCCGTCTTGTTTGTCCATTCATATTTCTCTATCCCTGAAACTTCCGTCAATAAACTAACCTGTCCGTATATCGTATTTGCTTGCATACGACATACAGATACATATAGTCATGTACAAGAGAACATTTGATTATGTTCCATATACACATATGCATAAAGGTAACACACATTATTTCTACACAGTAATGCACAAGCGGATGTACTATGCATGCCATGCAACATTAAAATATATGGTACGCTTCCGCCCTTCATTGCATACAATATGTCCAAGCACGGAAGGCTGAATGAATACTGTGTTGTAGGGCATTTTTATTCTGCTCATTTATAAACTAACAAAACGACTAACACACGCACCTCACTTATCTATTATTCATTTTCTGATTATGTTAAACATCCATTTCTTATTTCCGCTCCCACTTCCGTGTCTTTTACACTAGTAGTAGTTAATATATATATATATGTACACAACCAACCCCTGTCTATCCGTTAACACAATGGCGTCAATTCACTATTTTCTATTAATAATCTGAATAAAAAAAGATGACTCTTGTTTTGTCTGGCCTATTTTGCAAAGAAAGGCGAAAATACTGACCAACTATTAACTAGAAAAGGCCGAACAAAACAAAAGAAACAAAACTATATACGCATAACATATATACATATATATGTATAGATATATACATTATATAACTATATAACAATCGTCTAACACAGATTCGATCAGCCCGGAAATTTGAGGATTAAATATTAAATGCATGCTAAATATTTTCATTATTGTGTATTGTGAAACTTCCTTTGACCAATTCATAATGTGTTCTCTATACCATTTCTTGTTTCATCTAATATAGATAAATCATGTGAATTATCTTAAACAGATTTTATTATTATTATTTATTTCACTAATAATGAATATTTATACACAATGGTAATTGAATTTTGTACACTATTGATATAACAAATATGAATGATATCCATAGTTTAACACCATGTGATTATAATAATGAAAAGAAAGATTTATCAAGTTTATCAATAAAACGAAGTCGATTAGATCATCATCATCATCATCATCATCATCAATATCAACATCATCAATCAACAGAATTAACAAGTACATCAGCGAAAAGAGCATTCATAACAGTTGAAGATAATGAAGAAGGTGAATATAATTGTACACAGGATAATATACTAAATACAACAACTAATTATATTGACACAGGAATTAAATTAACCTCTAATGATGAATATCAACATCATGATTTAGAGAAAACATCATCATCGTCATCATCATCATCGTCACCAATATCAACACCTACAACAATAGCAACACATCAAACAACATCCATCACAGTTGTTAATAATTCTAATTCATATATTAATGATGAAAATACGGATCAATTAAATGTATTTAATCAGAAAAATAGAACAGATCAGATAAATTTATTTGATGATGAAAAAGATGCACATATTCCATCGATACAATTCCAATTAAATGATCATGATTCTGAAGATGTAAGCTATTATTATTATTATTATTATTATTATTATTATTATTATTATTAGCAGTAGTAATAGTATTATTATAGGCATTCAGTGCGGGTTATACTAGCTATGAACGTGGTATTAAACTCGAAATAAGAAGGCTTTTCTTGTCTCGAACTTTGAGTTTTTAGCCCTAACACTGTAGATTATTTTACATAGAAATTAGACTGATGAAGTGCTTTTATGTGGTTCTTGTAAGAGTGAATGATTAGTTAGTTTATTAGTTTCTTTAAAAGAGTACTGTTGATGTATGCGAGTAATGAAAACCATTTGATGAGACGTTTAAATCATAGTCGATGTTTAAAGATCGTCTCAGTAATCAGGATGAATTTACATTTCATCCTAAGTTTAAATATTACTTCATAACCTTTATCCTCTTATTTCATTCCTTCTCCAAATTTAATGCTGTCTTTAAAAAAAAAACATTTATATTATTGTTATTTCAATTTCCTTTGACATTTATCTTGTTAATTTTGATCTTGTTCTGGCAATTATAACTTATATACATTTGTGTTCGGTCCGGTTTTAATAATGGTTAACTGAAAGTAGATAATATTCAACTTGGATAAAAGAAGTTACATTTGAAGTTCACATTATCTGATAGTACACATTTTGGACTGTACTACTTCACGGAATACTTCACTGATAACGTCTTAGACGCTCAGGTTTAAATCCCACATGGAGCATCATTTCCCTTAAGGCTACATGTAACCTTACCGATTAGTGCCAACTATCATGAAACCTAGATTCAGAAGTTTTTGCCGACTTCCTTCAACCATCTAGCATCTCAACATAGTGTATATAATATCGAGCCATTCAGAGTAGGTATCATATTACAATTTCATCAATATAATTCGACTACTCAGCGACCAATTAATTGTAGACCGTACTACTACATGATTACATTCATCTACTCAAACTTTATATGTTACCCTATGTTAGTTTCGAACTAATCTAGGTCTGTCGAAGAATCATTTTTTCCCAAGTTATTTTCCTTGAATTCTTCTTTCACTTAAGAGAATATTTTCTTAAAAACAACAACTTCCCATCTCCGTTGAATTTATTAATGCATTACAACATACATAAATGATATGCATATATTTTTTTGTTAATAATTGTAATTAGAAAAACACTGTTAATCAGTAATTTTTTACATTTACAATGTTTTACATAAAACAGTATAAACCTACTTCCGACACTTCAATACTTGTTAGATATGAATAATGCTAGTTAGACAATAAGTAGGAATGTTGTCTCACTTTCTAAGTTATAATAAGAAGTCAGCATGTGTATTTAAAAGTAACGGAACCAACTGATTTAAAATACTGATATTAGTTAGCGTTAAGTCGGGTTTGACAAACTATTATTATTATTAATAGTCATAGATAAAATTGCATATATATCCTCGTACTTGTATTGATAAAAATGTCTGGTGGATGTATACACTAAAAGAACAAACGCAAAATTGACACTATGAACCAACTAGGAAGTGTTTTACTATGCTGTATATTATATTAATCTAAGTAAATTTCAGTATTATTCATTCTTAACGTTTGTTATCATGCATAAACAGTTGAAGAATTTATTGTAGTGAATTGTGTAGGATGTTTAAATTTCTGAAACATTAGCGTAAAGGAAAAATGGAAAAGAATTAAAGGGAGATAGGAAAAAGTGTAAAAGAACAGGTGAACATCAATTATCGGTCAGTCATAAACAACATAGGACCTTGTACATATATGTATTAGTTGAAGTTGATACCGAACCAGTACAGTGAGATGGGCTTATCCAAACAAATGTCACAGTTGTAAAAATAGTAACCACGTCAGTATTAGTAGAAAATATTAGACACAAATAATATAGTTCAAGAAGAAAGAGTTTATTTTGGCAATAAAAGTATTATATGATTTTGAAACTCATGATCTAAAGGAATACGGATTAAATACATCTGTGCTCTTGTTATCAATTCTGAACCATGTCACCCAACATCTCCGACGAATGGTAATGATAATGATAAGGACCTTAACCAGGACTTTTTATATAGCAAATACCACTGTCATTTGTAATCAGAGGTATATGTAATTTCATAAATCTAGTTCCCTTTATCATGTTGATGAGAGAAAGAACAAATATTTGAAGAGAATAATATGAATTCAATTATATTGGTTGGTTCTTGTTAGCCTCTTTGAGGTTGCTATGATCATACATCAGTATAGTATAGCAAGCATGTCAATAAAATTCAAAGACTTAATAAAATACTGTAAGTATATATCTTATATGAAAGAATGTTCCATAACATTGACAGTAGCAAAAGACCAACTGATTGATCAATGAAAAAATCTTGATTATACTTAAGAATGAAATGAGTAAAGCTCAGTTAGTTCAAACGAGATTACTAATTGAGAAGATGGTTAAAGTAATTGATTTTAAAAAAAACCGAACAAAATTTTATGGTGTAATCCAGGAATGTTTGTCACTAAGACAAAGAATGATTAACAACCATTTCTTTTGGAATATATAAATCAGATTCCCGTTGTCTGGTAACAATGATTTCAGCAAAATTTAAAAGACTGAGGTTTGGCTGTTCATTAATCATCATGAAATATTTCAAGATACCAACCTGATATCCAGTATTCAAAAGATATTTAATATTTGCCTCTATTTGAAATCGTTCTTTTTTTCTATTATTCGAAGGCTGGTTGGAATCTGGTATTTAACCATCCAGTTAATAAATCTTTTTATTTCAGACGTTGGGATGAGAATCTGAATGAGTTAGACACTTGGTTTTCAATCAACAGATAACAAATTTTAACAGTTAAATAAGAATTTTCGTCTAAATTTGATCTTATAGTTTCACAGTATTTGGGCGCTGAGTTGATGTGAGAGATTAATGAGGAAGAATGTATTTGTAAAATCTCAGAGAAAGAATTTGAAGGAAAACCAACATTTCGCCTGGTTATCTGGTCCAAGCTTTTTCAAGGAAATATAATCAAACGACAAAATTATCGAATGTAAATAGGTACATGGTTCAAATCAGTTATCTTATCTGAACATGTTAAACAATTGACTGGAACATTAAAATAACACAAACTTTCGATTCCTCTTTGAATTCATTCTATCATCTTGTTTATTTATCTTCATTTTATACATGCTGTGACATTTTTTATTCTTATCATGTATAAAAATTGAAGTCCTAAACACCAATGGGAAGACTCAAGTAAAACAATAACAAGTGAATTGAACTTCACCCCATTGTACAAGCAAGTGGCTATCAGAACTCAGTAGCTAAGTGGATAAAGTGATGGCGTTTGAAGCAAACGGTACTGGGTTCTAGTCCCAGAGTGAACATCAACTCTGAGATGCAGGTATATCCAGCTGACGAGTCCTAAATAGGACGAAACGCGCGTCGTGGATTCCACTGCTAGCCACTATTCATATTTGCTTATAATGCTTGTAAATTAAGGCAATATCGAGGAAATACGCACATTGCGCACATATGCCAATAAGAGACTGATCAATTGTAGTCCTAAACATCAATGGGAAGATTCAAGTAAAACAATACCAAGAGAATAAAAATTGTTTTCTTAATATTCAACGACCAAAGACAATACATAGTGAATGAAATTCCTTCTCACACTACATGTCTCTCACACAATAATGCAAGTAAATGATTTCGTCGAAAAGAAAATTTTCTTCGCTGACTTCTCTTTTTCTTATTCAATAATGCGAATACCTACTTTAAACTTTGTTAACGTTGATTGGATGACCTATTCAGTATACGGAGAACCATGTACCTATTCATATTCGATAATTTTGTTGTATGATTATATTTCCTTGGAAAAGCTTGGTTCAGATTGCCAGGTGAAACGTTGAATTAACTTCAAATTCTTTCGCTGAGATTTTACAAATACATATTCTTCCTCTTTAAGTTTAAACAGCGTACCACCTACTTCGATATGAACAATTAGTTAAAATCATTTTCACTCTTCCCATAATTATCACTGAAAATCAACTAAACTGAGCTAAAAAATCAATTCAAATAAAATTAAGTTTTTTTCCTCTTCTTATAAGTAAACAGTTGGATTTAAATTCTATTGCATGTTTTTGAAGTGTATCAGCAGAGGCTAGATCTATGTAACTCTCCAATATAAGGAAATTAATGAACGGAACACTCAAGGAATGAAAATAATACAAGTAACATGGATAGTATAACAAATTACGGTGTAACTATCATTTGTGGATGCACATTTGAGTTCTTTGAAAATGGTCTAGAAAAATGTCAACTACTTACTAGGCTCGAGTTAGTGTTAAAAATTAGTGTGAGGAATTAGGACTGAAAATTATATTTAGAAGATAAAGTTGGAAATTAGAATTAAGGTTTACATCATGAACTGACATCAGTTATAATGCTGAAATGTTATTCAATTACATAGACGGGTGAATTTCTCACCAAAAATCCATGACTCACAATTTTAAATTTCATTAGTTCGTCCATAAATTGTTGTCTTGCACAAAATGCAAGCGCAATATATATTGTCAAAACTGAAAATTTAGGTGCAGGTTAAGAATGAATACATGTATATCATTATAACCAGTTTTGAGATATATAGTTCAATATCATCTTGCACTACTTACAATTATCACATCAACACTGACAAGGAAGTTTAGGTCTGCTGACGTAGTTCAGTCTAGCATTCGAAGTCTTCATAGACTGATTACATAGTTTTATGTGGTTTCTAGCTTTAATCTACTTGACTCATGTGCCAGCCATCATTGTAAATCTGAGGAGTGTTGGTCATTCTAATAATCTCACAATCTCAATGTATATCTCATTGTAAACTAGAGTTAATATTTATGGAATTGAATGTATAACCATGACTTAGAAGATATTATGTTAGTTAATTAAGCTACATTTGTAGTGAACAAAAACTCAAGTGGGAGAAAACCAATTTATTGTTCAGTGCAAAATTAAA